ATATTTACCAGCTTGTCGAATAATTCCCCTAAGCCGAGATTTCGCGACACGCAAAATCCTCCAGAGGAGGATGTGCAATTTACGATATCCGCGGATACACAGTCGCCCGCCGTAAATATTCATCTATCTGTTGATATAAATTCGCAGCGCGCGTAATCGAAAACAACTTATTTTTCACTCCAAACAGACGATGCGTGCGTCGCTTGTAAAATATATCATTATGCATTCTTGTATTTATCATATTGTTATTATCACATTAAATTATTATCGGGAGTTATCGGGACACAACGCGCGTTGTTATTGCGCGATATTTAAAATACATTGTTGCGCTTCTAATTAAGCAGCTCGCTCGCATCTAATTAGCAGACCGGCCAATTCATCGTTCGATCGAAAGGAAGGGACATCGGTCCTTGAAATTTTATCGTCCCGCTCTGTCGAAACTTTCCGGATAATTTCGTCGTCAGAAGCCGCGGGCATGAAAAGCCGCTAATTACTCGCGCCGGCCATTCAGCAGCCGGTTTTCATGATTTTATTAAGCGTCGCGTATACACCGTCCTCTTCAACTCCTCTGAGAAAATTCACGGGCTATTAACGCCCGTGCAAGATTCACCTGGGACTCGCTCCCCCACCTCCTCGTCGATCGGTAATCCGTAATCGACTTCCCTTTCATCGAACTCTCGTATTACCGGTTGGATAATTAGCTCGACTAATTATAAACTACACCGCGCGCGCATAACGGCGACGCCGCCGCGGGATGATTCTTCGCGAGAGGTTAAATCGAGGTTGCGGAATAATCTCTTCTCGGCTTGGAAGATTGAATAATTAGCGATATTTTTACGCTTTCTCAAGATCGAGTGATTTTCAATAAGAAAAAGTGGGTCTCGCTTTAATCGAATGATTTGTCAAAATTACTTGGCGGATATTTTGTTACTTTTCGCATCTGTCAACTATAAAAAGAAGTCCGAGGACGTAAGAAGTTTTACGCAGACTCGGGGAGTCGAAGTCCGGACTCTTACGAGGCCAAAATGACTCTGAGGATATTAACGATAAATTACAAGCGACGAGGGTATGTGAGTGAACTTACGAAGTGACGTTGCAACGTCTGCGACGAGTTTATTTATACCCGGTGGCTCGTCACACATGCGCCACGTCTGCGGCCGCATCAGTGCCGAATCCTCCAATTTATGCCGCAAAATTTCGATGTATCCGTTACAATACCCGCGGGAATATCGACGGGATTATCGATGAGAATGAAGGAGCCCTCGGAGGTCGATAACAGAATGTTAAGTCGTCCCGATATTCTCCGTACTTTTCTCGATAATCTCATCCTTAATTATCGCTCGCATTATTCGTTATCGGGACTTTGCAGTGGCCACTTTATTTGCGACGGAGGAAAAACTTCTCCCCTCAACGAGCAAATAAAAATCGAGTGATCAATATATAGGTTAAAAAAAGACGGAGTTAAAAAGTAATTGCGCTCTCGATGCTTCTGATAAGATCCTCTCGGTTAAGTCCGGTTAACGCGGAGGAGATAAGTGAGAATACTCAGGACACGAAGTGTTGGTCCTTCGACGCTGCTCGAGTGTCACAAGCATCTCTAGATACGCATCGATCCGGGAGACACCGACACGATTTTGGCAAGCTCCGCTGGTATTTATAGATAGATACGCGAAAATTTAGTATCCCCGAGCGAGGCGTACGCAGAACCGAATAGTCAGCGGCCCGACTCTCCAATCCTTTTCTCGTTTTCTCCGTCTTCTTAATCAGAGCAATTCGACTGTATCGTAATTCGAAAATATAGTGTCGGTTGTACAGTCGACATAAATGTATGCATATGTATAATATGTACACCCGGCATGTGAATGTAATGAATGCACAGAAAGATTGACGAGAGAGGTGTACGTAATTAGCGTAAAATGTGTGCGGTCCGATGTTGCCAGAACTGAACTGTTGCAAACAATCGCTGTGTTTAACGCGGTATCTAGCGTCACAAAAGTTTTGCGAAAACGCGTGCACACTCGTTGCAAAACACACTCCGTTGCTGAAACACCGCGGGAATGCGATGACGAAGTAACAATCGGTAGTAAACTAATCGCTACCCTCGCGTTTTAGTTTGCTCAAAACATCCTATCTATATTCATAGAACGCTCTATCTCTACTAATTAATGCGAACGAAGCTTTAGATGGATCGTGGCGAAGCCATTAATAATTAATTATGGGGGAGGCGCTACTGCGGACGCTACCTATCGATTTATCTCATGTAAGATCGCGCAAATGCAACACTCGTGTGTGTGTGTTCTCTTCGAGCAAATAAATAAATACAAACTGCGGAGTAACACGAAAATCAACCGACCAAACGTCGGCGTTTACGAAAAATTCGCAAAAAAAAATGACAAAAATTCGAACGAACAATTCGTGGGAATAAAGCAAAGCGTTATAAAATTCGTGTCGCTCGTCTCACGCGATAAATCCTGTTTAATATGAAATTCGTCGTGTTGGGAGACAAATTTTCCGAGGGAAAACACTGCCACCGGGGGCTTATCCGGTCATCAGGAAATGCGACGGGAGCACGCATGACTTTCTTTACCTCGTTCGGTGTCGCTCCGGCCGGAAAAATTCGTCCGCATTAAAATGCGCACATGCTACTGCGCCGGTTAATCAATTAATCAGCTCTGGACTAATTAATGCACAATCGGGGAGGGAGAGGGGGAGAAATAGAAAGAGAGAGAAGGAGACAGAATTCGGACGAGCGCAAAGTGTCCGTTTGTTCAAGACTTACGTTCAATTACGGTGAATCCAGGCAGAGAACCAGCGCGTGACACATGCATGAAGAGACACGTGGAAATCAGTTTTCATCAAGAACAACGTCATCAACGTCATCGTGTATGACAAAGAGAAAGAGAGACATAGAGAAAGGGGGTCGCGTTAATTTCGTCGCACGGTTAATTCGCGATCGATCGCGATAGCGTCGCCAATCGCGTCGCGCCCTTCTTGATCCCGAAATCCCTTCTTCGCTCACGCGTGACCCGCGTGACCCGCGCTGCAAACTTTCGCCCGTGCCATTTCCCGAGATAACGCGCCCGCGGAAAGTTACGACCGGCCCGAAACGATCGCGCCCGCGCGATCATTTCCGCCGCCCTACATCGCGCTCTCTCTCGCCCGCTTCGTGCGCGCCTGTTAAGCGGACGTCGCGCTTATATTTCGATTCAAATAGTGCGCTGCGGATTGCGTTAATAGCGAGCGATCGCGTTTTCATACATCGAATTCCGACGACGGCGAGCGATTCGTTGGCGAAATTCCGCGGATAGATTAGCCTCCGTCGAGAGGCAGAGAAAGAGAGACGGACGGAGAGAGAGGGAGGGAGGGAGGGAGGGCAATCGTGAAA